GCGGGATCGCGAAGATACCGCCTCGGTATCCACATCAGAGGGTTTCAGTGCTCGCAGGAAGTGCCACTCACTGCCCCGAAGGAGCAATAGACACCCGACCGCTCGACGTTCGAATAGTGGTCTGTGGAATCGACTGGTCACCAATGTCTTTGGAACGGAAGATTCGTTTGACTTTGATAGCGATGACGACAGTGGTGGTGCTATATTTTACACCGACTCGGTTAACGGGTCAAACTATGAGATATCTGCTGAAGTGAGTTAGTAGAACGAAGCTGGAAACCATTTCTAAGATTTTAAAGCAATTAACTTTGGCTTGAGTTTCCAACTTTTAATTATCATTATATTAACCATTATATTTTGGTTACAGTTCTTGAAGTGTATTCATCTCCTTGGATTTTAAATTCTCTGTGCCAATCTGGCACTTGCAATACCATATACCATTCATTTATCATTTGATTCATATTTGAACTTGAACTTTCGACGTTTTATTAAATTAACTGCAAGAGGTGGCGCAGTTTGCAGTACTCTATACGTATCTTAAAGTTTATTAAAATACTGATTGAAGACACTCAAATGTACTGTTCAGTGTTTATGATGACGCCAGAAACTTTTTTAAGTTTTAAATAGTTTAAACAAGTGTATTTACAAATATGTGTAAAACCTTTCTCTTATTCACTCATTTTCTTATCAACAGGGCGAATACATAAAGCATCCCGTTCTGTACGAGCTCAGTCACAAATATGGTTTCACAGAGAATCTGCCGGAGAGCTGTATGTCCATACGGCTGGAGGAGATCAAGGAGGCTATTCGGCGAGAGATCCGCAAGGAGCTGAAAATAAAGGAGGGCGCCGAGAAGCTCCGCGAGGTGGCCAAGGATCGGCGATCCCTCAGCGATGTCGCCGTTCTTGTCAAGAAGAGCAAAAGTAAACTTGCCGAGCTGAAGTCCGAGTTGCAGGAGCTCGAAAGTCAAATCCTCCTGACATCGGCCAACACCGCCGTTAATAGCAATGGACAAGGTGAGCATCCAATAATTCCCACAGAGATTGAGTAACTTTTCCTAGCTCTGACTCGCTTTTCGTTTCGAAAACCCACTGAAAGCGAGACTTTCAAAAACCAATTATAAACTGTTGCAATTATACGAGAGCAAAAGTTTCGTGCAACATGTTTTGTGGGCAAGTGTAACGAGTCAAGTGTATTCCCAATAAAAACGAGGGCGTGGCAAGGGGGCGGGGCGCGGGGTCACTAACGAAGTTATAACCAAAACAAGCTCCAAGAAAAAGTTTGGCCACTGCGATGATGTTGGAAGATGTTCCTTTTTGGGTGGAAGATGAAGATAAGGTTGTGTGGTGAAGTTGTTAGTTAATTCAATTTCGTGCTCGTTGTAAAGTGTAATTCAATCAACCAAAATGTTTGGTGCATTCTGAGTCATGTAGTTTGCGAAGTTTAGTTGAGTACATTTCGTATAAAACTATTTTTATAAACAAAGATTTCTCGAAAATGTATTCAAAATCTTTGATATAAATAAATACATTTTAATAAATATTATTAGGTGGTTTTTTTCTTTGCAATGCATAACTTTGATCGATTTTTAAAACAGTTACTATTTTAAATTGCCAAATAATAGAGCGATAATTTACTAATCAAAACCTATGAATGAATAATAATTCTAATTAACAAACCATTGCAATTTCTTACAAACAAAGATTTCAGTTTACCGAAATAAAAACCAAACAAAAATGAAAGTACATCGTTCAGAAAAAGGGCAACATCAAAACCTTACGAAAGCTGAAATTGTTCAGGGCTTTGGGAATGGTTAAGTTGGTCTTTAACGAGTCTTTGTCACGCATTTGCTTTTGCCACACTTTTCTTGGCCCATCACCTAATGCTTCATGGTGACAAGTAAACATTGTGTTGGGCGTTAAAGATCTGATTATCGCTCGTATCTTTAACAAAACACTTTGTGATAGACTTGGTGACAGACGAAATGCTGTCTTCGTTTTCTTCAGTTTATGTGAGCCAACCTATTGACACAACTGCCTTAAATGTGAAACGTTTGGTTTGTTTACATTTCCGAATGGAGACAGCGTTCTGGCATTCGATATATCTGCTTCCGTGTTTGGCCAATCCCCTAACAGAAGCATTTGGCCCAGAAGAACCCTCCACTGTTGCATTGTGTGGCGCCAGAGTCGACTTTCCATATGTCAGACGATTGACATGTTTGGCAGCTGTCAAAGAATGCTGCACAAATGCCTATTCTCTCTGAATAAATAGATGGTGCATATAGATCTAAACACACATATTTTTAGTTTGTGCCAAACAAATAGCCTTTCAAAAGGAAACAAAGGGAGAAGAAGGTCATAAACAAGTTTTTTTCGCCGGTTTTTTTTTGTTGAGAAAATTTGGATCAGCGCTGCTGATCGCTTAAATTCATTTCTTTAGCTCCCGCTTATTTATTATTAACTTGACAAGCAGAAATGAAAATATTGATGAAATCCATAGCTATGTTATTTAACTTTTCCGTTGGTTTTTCAAAGTCCTTGTCCTACACTGATATTGATAGATTAGAAAACTTCTTGTGCTACAGTTTATGTATCTAAACTGAACAAAAAACGAGTCTAGGATAGAGATTATGCAATAGTTGTTACGAAATTCAGATTAATAATGAACCTAATCGTTCCCATTTCTTTCAGAATCGATCACTGCCTGCATTGACCCCAATGGCGGTTTCTTGGTCAGCGGTGCTGTTGGTGGCTTGGGCGGCGGAAGCACGGCTCTGGAAGGTGGCGTACCGGCCACTGCCAATGACAAAGTGCTCGCCTCGCTGGAGAAGCAGCTGCAGATTGAGATGAAGGTGAAGACCGGGGCGGAAAACATGATTCAGTCGCTGGGCATCGGATGCGACAAGAAGCTGCTGGCGGAAGCCCACCAGATGCTGGCTGACTCGAAGGCCAAGATAGAGTTTTTGCGCCTGCGCATCATCAAGGTGAAACAGAATCGCGAGCAGGCTGATCGCCTCAAGGCCTCGCGCCAAATGATCGACGAGCACGGCCAGACGATCGGCGGGAACAACAGCAGCCAGCCGCAGAGCCTGGAGACGACGCTGGAGGAGCGGATCGAGGAGCTCCGCCATCGACTGCGGATCGAGGCAGCCGTCGTCGATGGAGCCAAGAATGTTATCCGCACGCTGCAGACGGCGAACAGGGCACCGGACAAGAAGGCTTTGCAGGAGGTGAGTGCCATCTTGTACATTTTGGTTTGGTTTTTGAGTATACTTAGGGGAAACTTGCAGACACACTGTCTACTTTAAATAGAAGCTTATATATCTACGGGGAATCATGTGTGCAAACAATGTACAAATCTAAATTGTACTTGATAAGTTAAGAATCCAAACTTTAGATAACTAGATGGTGGCTTCAGTTAACGAAGTTCCACTGTGCTTGGTAATTCAAAAGGAATCGGTATTAATGCTAATACCAGAGTTAATTAGAGCTGGCTGGTAGCCAGGTAGACACATAACCCTGCGAGTTTTCCCCCGCAAAGCTGAAATCAGGTGTGCATGCTTCCATATGGCCACACGACGTATGAATCATGTTTGAAATATACGTGCGTATACGTGATTTTTTTCAACTTGTGGCAACGTCTTGTGAAACGGGGAGCAGGAAGGAGGCAGAGCTAATTATGCGGCTGCTTTAAATATTTTTCACTTCGTCCGCTTTCGTTTTAATTTCAATTTTTTTTTGTCGTTTACTGTCGTCTCATTAATTAAACGGACGTGGAACGTCGTCATTACTAGAGCCCAAGAAAAATGATTTGGCAAGTGTGCTCAGGGCCTGCCCTAATAATTTTGCCATTAGCTTTTTAGTTCATTTAAAATTTTTTAGTTAATGGTATCGCTGACAGAAAAATGGTCTCAAAATAAACGCGAAACGAGTATTTTTTCTTAATTTCACAATGCATTTAACACTGAACGTATGTGCAGCGACATACATACATACATATATGTATGTTCCTTATTTCCCAATGTCTGCTCTTCCTGTCGCGTGGCAAGCTCCCTTTTCTCCTCGCCGTGATTTATCTTTTCACCGATGCTCGTGCGGTTTTGTCTTTGGATTCAACATAAACGTATACGTAGACACTTAGCTTCCGCAGAAGCTACTGCAACAACACGTTGTCCGGGCTGTGGCCTAAATATTCTATTTGCAGGCCCCATTTTCATATTTATTTGTTCTGCGTTGCGGTTGCATCTGTCAGATGCAGAAATAAAAAGCTGAGAGCAGCAGTGCGTTTTATATCAATAGGAACAAGTTTTTCTTTAACAAGACAAGCAATGGAGTTCTCTATTTTGGGATTATCGGATCGTGTTGAATCAATCATTTTTAAGAACTTACCATTGTACTGATTTTTCTAAAGCATACCATAAGAATATTGATGTTTTTTGATGTTTTAATCATAAGCATATTAGTTTGTTCTTTCTATACAGTACTTTTGTTGCTGTGCATCCAAATATCGCAGAAGTTATTACGATCTGCTAAACAATAAACACAAAACTTTGCCGCTGCCCTTTTGGCCATTTGGAAGCGTTTTGCTACACATTTTTAGAACTATGCCGTCCGCTGGCACACAAACATTTAATATATAAACCCGTCTATATGTCTGTGCCTCTGCTTAATCGGCCAAAAACGAGAAACGTATAAAACCGTCATAAGAATCGGAGCGCAAAGTTCTCTGGCCAGCATATGGGAAATGTGTTGTTTCATGTGCGTGTGAATGTGCGTTTCTCTAGTGAATTTTCCCAAGCAGCTTTTCCTTGGCGATCAGTATGAGTTGGATCGCTGTTGGCTACGTGCGATGCCGCATGGTGTTTTCCGATATTTTATAATTATTTTTCAATTGCCGCGTCTTTCGTTGCGTTCGTGTACTTTTGTTTCTTGTGTTAAAATGCCACTAAATGTGGAATGAAATAATAATAATAATAATAATGCAATAATTGAAGTAAGCTCGCAAAAAGCACGCACACACGCTATAAAAGTGGAATTCAGTGGATGAGCTTGTCATTAGCTCTTCGACATTACGCATACGCAGCGTGTGCTGCAGGTTCTATGCGGTTATCCACCCGAAATTGCGTAATTCTCTGTTTAATAGTCAGCTCTTCACTCAGTTTCTCTGAATTCGTTTTGGGGTCATCTTGCAATTTTAGCGTAACGAAAAAATCGTGTTAAAAATAAAATCACATAAATTTAGAAACACGAATTTTACAAAATCTAAGAAAAACCGAAAGTGTTTTCGTTCCGCCCCATCCATTTAGTAACCCCCACGACTATAGTGTGTGTGCGTTTGTCGAATGAAGCTAAAAATAGCGAAAACAAAAAAGCCAAGTTAATATAGTTCAAACTGCCTGTAACGAATTTTTCGGCTTACAAAAAGAAAGTTGTTTAAAAAAGTGTTTGAGCAGAAGTAATTGGATTTTAATAAACACACCGAGAAATTCTGAGCAATATAAACATTAAAAAGAATTCCTAGAATTTGTTTTAACTGTATACAATTCATGGGAATAGCTTTAAAATTGTAAACAATGTGTGGGGATGTTACCACAAATTGTTGATATAAAATTACCCTTAAACATTTGCAATTCAACTGGCATTTAAGCCGTGAATGTACGAAAATTATTTAATGTTTGGTCGACAGTAAGAACTATCAAAACGGCTTCTCGATATTTTTAGCCGGAATATAAATTTCGTGTGTGACGTATATGCAAATATATGTATATACATAGGTATACAGTGCGTGAGTGTATTTATGTGAAGATATCGATGGCACCTTGATCCACAATATAACCACAGTCAAAATGTGTTTATGCCACGACCGCAAAACTAGTGCTTAGGAAGTCATGAGCACGCCCACGCCCACTCCGGGGTCGGTTCAGGGCCAGCAAGTTCCACTGCCCCATGAACTGACCGCCGAGTGGACCGTGCGAGCACATCTAACTTTTGCCCGAGCCGGAGAGACAGTGCAAAAGGAGTTCAGTGCTCCGGACACTGTGCAGCCGGTGCGAGTGGTCTACAAATGGTGTACGCCCTGCGAGGAACCAGAAGCAGAACAGGATGTGGACAAGGCAAGTCGTGACGGAAATCTACCAAACTTTATTTATATCCTTAAACTCCTCTACAGACAGCGGCTACTGCGGGAACTAGCTTCCGTTCCACAAACTCCTCGGCCACCACCAATGCGGACTCGGCATTTGGCAGTCCCCACGCTTCCAGGGCTCTAAGCAAACCATCTCTACCCACTGATTCCGCTCCTCCTCTTGGAGCCACTGCCCAAGTGTGTGGAACCCGCTGCCGGAGCACCTGCAACATTGTGGTGTCCGCTGTGGCCGATTTCTTGCCTCAAGAAGCGGGAGCCGGGTCAGTGAATGAGCCCTTTGTGTACCACAGCAAAGTGCGAGCACAGCAGCTAAAGGACGCCTTCTCGCAAACAAGCGACACGGAGGAGCAGCCAGCAAAGCGACGTCCAGCTTATGAGCATCGAAGGGCTACCACCGAAGCGCTGATGAGTTTCGCCAGCAAGCGACAAGTCGAGGAGGCTAACACCTATGTGGTGGGGTTTCAAATTCATAATTGTGCTTTCAGTTTTTAACTTATTAAAATCCTCAGCCCACCTATTCGCCCACGCCCACGACACCATCGTCTACATTTAAATCGGCCTCGATGTCGAGAATTCCACCGCTCGCTGGCAACATAAGCCAAGGAACAGCTCCTAAAATACCCAACTTGGGCGAGAAGAAACCCCGCACTGTCCACATCGATGTCTACTGCACCGGCTCAGAGGGAGATGAGGAGGAGGAAGCTGATGATGAGAGGCACGCAGATGAAGAGCCCTCTAGCTCCTCCGACTCCGAGCTGGCTGGTAGCAAGCGATACGAACTGGACTCGAATTCCACCCCTCAAACCGTGCTGGACAATGAGCAGATGCTACTGCGCCATCAAAGAATCTCTGGGGGAGCTATGCCCAGGCGTTTGGCTCAGAATCAGGCGAAAAATAAAGGGGAAAACCAGCAGCAAGGCAATCTTAATTTGGGTCATGCCATTACAAAGTGCAGCACAGCCGAGGAAGTGTGCGAGTCCAAGCAGTTGCTGTTCCGCAAACACATTGGTGATCAGCGTGCAGCCAAGTTGGCCAATCTACGTCAGAAATACATGCGCCAGCCCAGCGATGAGACGATCAGCAGCACATACCCCAACTCCTCGCGGTCTACGATGCCCAGGGATGCCACCTGCAGCAGCATTTCCAGCGCCGTGGGAGGAACGGATTGTGTAGATTCATCCTGGAAGGATACAGACGATCTAGATACACCAATAGCATCTTTTGGATTGACCAAATCCGACAGCTTTGACTATGAGAACTCTCTTGATCGCCTGCGGATAAGCCAGATGGAGCGCCTTTGGTCCCGTCAGCACTCCTTGGACCAGAGCCACGCACAAACCCACCTGGGAGCACCATCCCCTCATGCTCTGCAAACAATCACGGAGGTGCAGTCCCAACGAAGTTCCTTTCAGCGAAGCGATACCATCCCCTCGGAATCGGATGGCTTCTCGGATGCCAATGGATTCAATACCTATCCGGGAAGGCAGTCGCAGTTGCAGCAGATCTCGCATTTTCCTCGTAATCGGCCAGGTTTCCTGCAGTTCTTTGGACCCTCCGGTGGGCCCGGAGTTGCGGCACAACCCACTCCGCCAGCCACAGCACCTGTTCAACCCGCTGCGTCTGCTACTACGGATCCGTTCCGACTTCTCCATCCGAGTTTTCGATGGAAGAGCGAAGCCCGCGATAACCTGAGCGTACAGGTTGCTCCCGGATCACCATCTTCCGAGCGTAGTTCCCCCCAACTCCTGTCGGCTGCGACCACAGTGGTGCGTTGCGGTAGTGAGGCGCCGCCAAGCACCACCTCCGCTAGTACTTTTGGGACCACAGTGACGCCTTCGCCACTTCCAGTGCGCCGTTTTGAAATCTCACGCGACAGTCCAAGCCTCGCAAGTGAAGCATCCACTTCCGTTTCCGGGTACACCCACGAACATTTGGAGAAAGCTCGTCGCTTCGGCAACGTGGTGGCCATGAGAAAACCTGGCCATCATGTAGGACCCACCAAGAATCCGAATTGTCAATGCGAAAGCTGTCAACGTTGGCTGGCTGAGAGGTTTCAGCTTCGCGGAAGAGCCTTCTCTCTAGGCGAGAAGCCCTTACTAAGACGTCCACAGCAATAAACAAAAATACTGATCAGTTCGAGCATACTTTTCTTTGTCTTAGGCTTGCATTTAACACATTGCTTTTCAGATTGATACGCCCCTATTAACCCAATACCTAAATCCGAATCTAAATCCAACTTTATTTCCGATTAGTTGTAAGCCATGTAAGCGAATGTTCCTCACGCAAAACAAAACTTGTGCGCTGAATCAATTTAATGTTGTAATAAAATAAAGCAATAGTTTTAACTAGAAATGCATCTTTTACTTCGGTGGTTGAATGAAAATCAAATTTCTTTAACAATGTTTATAAAATAAACTTTTTTTAAAGGTATTTCTTTATTTGACAACTGTGTTTAAATAATTTTAAAATGCTACATGTAAAGAAAGGCTTGTTGAATTTCTTACAAAATATTTGGTAGTACATCAGAGGGGAATAAAATGATTACTTGTATGACCAAACTATTAATTCGATTTATTTTAAAACAGGCCCATGGACGTTTGTCGGAATCGTCGCGAAAACTAGATCTCTTGCGCTACTCCTTGGATCTACAACGCCAGAAGCTGCCCGCTGATTCGCCCGTCGCCCAGCTCTTAAAAACGGAGCTGCAAATCGTCCAGCTATCGACCTCCCCAGCTCCCGTCACCTACACTTCACTGCAATCCGGACAAGCAGGTATACTGGGCGGAAAGCCGTACCAGTCGGTGTCCTCGCTTGGACGCTGTGCCAGTGTCACCGGAAAACTCGAGGTTCGCTTGCTGGGCTGCCAAGATTTGCTGGAAGATGTGCCTGGCAGATCACGGAGGGACAAGGACAACAATTCCAGTCCGGGTGATTTAAGAAGCTTTGTCAAGGGCGTAACCTCACGCAGCAGTTCAAAGAGCTATTCGGTGAAGGATGAGACCTCCATTGAGATCATGGCGGTCATCAAGCTGGACAATATCACCGTGGGCCAGACGTCGTGGAAGCCATGCTCGCAGCAGGCCTGGGATCAGCGCTTCTCTATCGATCTAGACCGGTCGCGTGAACTGGAGATTGGAGTTTACTGGCGCGACTGGCGATCTCTGTGCGCCGTAAAGGTGCTGCGCCTGGAGGAGTTCATCGACGATGTGCGACATGGCATGGCATTGCAGCTGGAACCACAAGGTCTGCTATTTGCAGAGGTCAAGTTCTTGAACCCCATGATCTCACAGAAGCCAAAGCTGAGGCGCCAGCGTATGATTTTCAACAGGCAGCAGGCGAAGAACATCTCGCGGGCCAAGCAGATGAACATCAATGTGGCCACTTGGGGCCGCCTGCTCAAGCGGAATGCTCCTAATCATGTGCACATGGGATCGATGGGATCTGGATCTTCCATAACCGGTAGCTCTCCTATGGTGGTCGGTGGATCTCGCGACTCTGAGTCGCCGATTTCGAGAACTCCCTCATCCGACGCACTGGTGGAACCGGAGCCCTACACGCCAGGAGAACAGGCACAGAACTTGGAATTCGATCCTGATGCAGGCGTTAATGAACACGTCGAGACGCCAGGTGAATACCCAGATCCGGCGGCCAGTGGTCTGAGCGGAATGCGACCCCTGTCCATGCACATGCAGGGAATCAGTGTCTTGCCACCGGAATCGCCACCCGTGGCCGCCGGAGCAGCTGGTCGACCCAATACGCTCAGCTTACAGATGACAGGTGCCAGTAAAGGACAGGCGATCCAAGGTGGCCGGACTGCAGCTCCCACAACGGCGCCACCGCCGCCACCCGTGCTCAAGTCGACATCCACCACTCCGATACTGGATCAGGAGGTAAGTTAGCTCATTTACTTCACAAGCAATCCGTGTACAGTTCAGTACTTGACCGACCCTGTATAAAGATCTGCGTATGTACTTAGCTGTGTACCCGTAGCTGGTTTGATCGTTGTGCCTGCCACTGCTCCTCCGCCTACTCTCTCATGTATTTATCCACCCACCTATGCACACACAAGCACTCAACTGTACAGTCATCACATTATGAAATTTTGGTGTTGGGTTCGCATTAAGTATCTCTCTAATCTGTACATTTGGAACGGTAGTCGCACTCCATACAGAATCATTATTGTTCGAAAAATTGGCAGAACATTTTACGAGCTTGAATTGAAGGCCCAATTTCCTTATATTTGTGTGCAGCTACACAGAAAAGTGTAGTGAAAAGTAAATTGAATGAAATTAAATATGACACGAAAAAAACTTTTTGAAACGGCTTACATTTAAATGAAAAAAATAATTGGACTTATCTTTTGAACTTTTTTTATGCTATGAAAGACCCAAAACGGGCACATATCATATTTTAAAAGTTAAAGAAAATTAGTTTACGCTTAAGATTTTCCCGCCTCCTCTGCCATTAAGTTTTCATCAGATTCATTCATTACTATCGTTCACTTTTTCTCTATATCCTCTCTTCGCTTTCTTCAAGAAAAGCCTTTCTTTTCCTCGCCTACTTTATTCATCTGCCAGTATTATTTTTTTTTGTGGCCCACCATCATCATGTTCTCTACCTCTCTCTGTCTGTGTGTTTTTGTGTGCCCGTCTCGGTTTCCGTTCCGTATCGTCATGATTTCGTTAATCGCCGACAGCTGCAGGATGCCCTGCACGAATTCGATTTCCTGTCGGACCTGGACTCACGTCCCACTACGCTGCGCCGACTGCTAAAGGAGCAGAACATGTCGCTGGATGCCGGGGCGCTGGAGAACCTGCTGCTACAACAGCAGCAGACTGAGCAGCAGGCGCTGCAGCAGCGCCAGCGCCAGGAGCAGTTGCGTCTGCAGCAGTTCCAGGAGGCGCAGCGCCAGGCGATCCTGGATCTGTGCGTGAAGCAGAGAGAGCCCGAGGAGCAGACATCACCCACCCTTGCCAACCAAACGCCGTCGTTCCCACCGCTTGCCAGCAATCAGATCATGCCAAGCTTAAATGCCCGCCCCAGCCCCAGCCAAAGCCAAAGCCCAAACCACAATGAATTTCAGTTGCAGCAGCATCCACATCCCGCCCAGAAACCGACGAATCCCGAACCACCATCCGCTGTGGCACAGCAGCTGCACCGGCCGGTCCTAATCCTGCCGCCCGTGGTGCTCCTGGGTGGTCGGGAGGAGGACCGATCGGTGCCACCATCGCCACTAGTCGAGTATCCCGAGGACGACGATGAGTATCTGTACCGGGGCAGCAACGAAAACCTGGGCAACCGGCTGCACTCCAGCCACAGCTCCAGTGCCGGCGATCGTTTCTGTGTGGAGGTTAGGAGGTTTTTCATTTCCTGGTTTGGTTTCCGGTTAATTTCTGTTCTCGAATTCTGATTTACTTTCCTTTTATTTAATATTTTTACTAACCTTATTTTCCTTTTGATTTCTTACATGTTTGTTTTGTTTTTGTTTCGAGTTGGGTTACCTGTTTCTTCTTTAAATGTGTGTATGTTTCTGGTTTGGCTTTAGACAAAAAACATTTGAAGCCCCAAAAATTGTGTATAAACATTCGATTCACACTCATTTGCACTGTAATCAATGCGCATTCACAAGCACCCCAAACAACTAATATAGTCGTAGTAGAACTAACTAAAAGTTTAGCTTCGAATGTGACTCACCATTTAATTAACAGTGTTTAATAGATTGATGTAGATAGTGGCTTGAATATTTGCAAATTAAATTACACATAGTTCCTATCGAAAGGCAAATTAAATTATATATATTAAATTGTCAATTTTAATGGTACACATGAAAGCGGCACAGCTTAATCTAATGTAGAAATAGTTTTTTTAAATGTTTTTATAACATGTTTTCAAATAATAGGCAACTTGAGAGCTTTAGAATTTGTTTTAGATCTTAAATTTCCCACTTATTTGACGAGGAACAAATATGATCGCCGCGATATAAAAGCTAGAAGTGACAATTTTAAACTCTTTAAATAGACGCGCTTCTGGCGAATGACAGCAAAAAGATCAGAGGAAATAAGAGGTGATATGTCTTGGGAGAATGGGGCCTTAAAGAGGCACCCAAAAGTGCGCCAGTTCACGTGCCAATGGTCGGGAAATGTGTTATTTTTTGTCACCCACGGCCACCTTCCGTTTTCCCCCTCACGTTGCAACGTCAGTGTTCCCCATTTCCATTTTCATCCAAGATGTTTGTCCCTGTGTTCGCTTACCTTTGTATCTATGTGTCCAAGCTATGTACTCATCGTTATGTGCGCTGTTGTCACATTTTCCTTTCGGTTGGTCATTTATAGACCCAAAACAACGACGCAAATGCTTGGCCTCTGGTCATGACTTTGGCACTTGTTCGCCTTCAGTTGGTCGGCGCGGTTTTAGCCATCCCGCCTAAGTGTCCTATCGGTATCGATCGAAATGTAGGAACGTTATGATTGTGCCAACCTTCCATGCGGTCAGCCAGGTCTTAAGGCAGATGTTTGCGGTCCAGCTACAACAGCATCAGCAGCAGCAGCGCACATCCTTCAATCAGCTCCATCACCTTGATTTGTCGCCCTCGCGAACCATCAACCAACTGTTAGTGTGTTCATGCGCATCCAATCCTGTACCTTCTGCTGTATGTGTGTTTCTTGGGTTCAATCAAATCCCCGATCAATCAAGCATACTATGAAGAACCATCCTCTTGCAGGCCCGTATTAGTCTTGTACATATTACCCTCGAACCGATCAATGCCAGCCGGACGACCAGTTGCCTGATCGAGGAGGTAGCCGAGCCGGATTCACAGCCGGAGATTAAGCCGGTGGCAGAAGCGCAATCTGCCAAAGTATCCGAAGCTTCTGTCGAAAGTATTGTCCTCGAGACAGTTGAAAAGTTAGAAACAGCAGACCAGGTCCAGCAGGTAATCGCCAGGAATTTAAGTGAACGGATTCCTTAAGCTCTCAAGTTGTAGCCACTAATAAATGTTTTCCTCCACTCTAACTCTCCATAGTGACTAAAGTTTATATTCTTGTACGTCCTAGGTTATACCACAGTTGGGCAAGCTTTACGTGGGCAGTAGCCAGCAGCAGTATGCGCAGCAGTCTTCGCCCATCATCCAGGAGCCAGCTACTCCTACTATTTACGGAAACAGTACCGCTGCCGGTGCGCCGCAGTTCCCACAGCCCGCCCAAAGGCAAGAGAAGCAGCCCTCACAGCAGCAGCCCATCTATGCTAACCAGTATGAGCTGAATGTGGCCAAGGCGGCAGCAGCAGCTTCAGTTTACTCACTCAGCTCCTCCACCACTAGCAACTCCAATCAGCAGCAGCAGCAGCAGCAGCGCAGGAATGTGGCCCGTGGTCTGCAGTATCGTGAATCCGGAGGACTCGAGACCGGCCGGGCTGGAAAGCAGCCTCCCAATGCTGGCATGTTGTCAATGGACAACTTCCGTTTGCTAAGCGTTCTGGGACGCGGCCACTTTGGCAAGGTGATCCTGTCCCAATTGCGAAGCAACAATCAGTACTATGCCATCAAGGCGCTGAAGAAGGGAGACATCATCGCCCGCGACGAAGTAGAGTCCCTGCTTAGTGAAAAGCGCATTTTTGAAGTGGCCAACGCCATGCGCCATCCGTTCTTAGTTAACTTGTATTCGTGCTTCCAGACCGAGGTAAGTTGAGACAAGCTTGGGAGTTATAAGTTAAAGCATAACTTGTTTTTACTTTATTATTGTGTTAGCAACACGTATGCTTTGTGATGGAGTACGCTGCTGGCGGAGATTTAATGATGCACATCCACACGGACGTGTTCCTGGAGCCGAGAGCCGTCTTCTACGCCGCTTGTGTGGTTCTGGGTCTGCAGTACCTGCACGAGAACAAGATCATCTACCGGGACCTGAAGCTGGACAATTTGCTATTGGACACGGAAGGATATGTGAAGATTGCGGACTTTGGTTTGTGCAAGGAGGGCATGGGCTTCGGCGATCGCACGGGCACTTTCTGTGGCACGCCTGAGTTTCTGGCACCGGAAGTGCTCACGGAAACTTCATACACACGAGCCGTGGATTGGTGGGGCTTGGGTGTGTTGATCTTTGAGATGTTGGTTGGTGAGGTAGGTCGGATGCAACAATCTTTAATAATTCAGTGCATAATCAATTAATGTTTACAGTCGCCATTCCCTGGTGACGATGAGGAGGAAGTATTCGATTCAATTGTCAATGATGAGGTGCGCTATCCGCGTTTCCTCTCGCTGGAGGCCATAGCCGTGATGCGTAGGGTAAGCTGATTGATTGCATAAGTAACTATTCGAAGCAGAACTTAATTCCAATTAATTGGCAGCTTTTGCGCAAGAACCCAGAGAGACGTCTGGGATCGTCGGAACGGGATGCGGAGGATGTTAAGAAGCAGGCATTCTTCCGGTCGATTGTGTGGGATGACCTGCTCCTCCGAAAAGTTAAACCCCCATTTGTGCCGACAATTGTAAGTTAAATTGCAAAATGGTGTATAAAATTGTATATATTTTAACATTGTTTATAACTGCCTTACAGAACCACTTGGAGGATGTGTCAAACTTTGACGAGGAGTTCACGTCAGAGAAGGCGCAGTTAACACCACCGAAGGAGCCGCGACACTTGACGGAGGAGGAGCAGGTGCTCTTCCAGGACTTTTCATACACGGCCGAATGGTGTTAGGAGCTCGTTGTTAGTTCAAAGGTTTATCAATGGGCCTAGCCCGATCCTTATAGCCTTTGATTTTTGCTATTACTTGTGTACGAAATTGGTTTCGAGTAATTTTACTTGGCTTAGTCGATGTGAGTTCAATATTTATACATGAAGACAGCATGATCATACAGATACAGGACATATATATTTATAACTATATCTATATAGGAAATACATCTAATATGATACAACTTTTGAGTGTTGCTCACTGGCCGAGAGACCAACATAAACCAAAATACCTAGTTGTCCACATTGTGGAAAAGCAAGCATTTGTCAATCATCCATGCAACCGGTTCAGCATACAGTCCCTAGAAATCATCCCATATTGCCGTTGCATTGTACAGCATATAAAGTTGTTTCCCTTTCCAAAACACGAGAAAGCATTGAATAGTCTGACAACCCTTAGGAAAGCCTTATACGCAAAGTTGTAGTTTTGGAAGCCTTTTTTAAGACCGGCTACAAATAGAGTTTATAAATGAGAAGTATGTCTATACCCCAGAGCAATCATTGCAACTTATTTTCATAATCAACATACAAGAACAAAAATATATTTTATACATATATTGCATGCACATCCCAGGAATCGTCTTGCTAAACGAGCTCATCTTCTATACGACATATTTATCTAGTAAAGTGAGAGAAAGTGAAATATTTACAGTTTTATCAAGTAAGCCCTGTAAATTGCCTTGCGCGTTTTATCAACTCCCCAGCCCATTGCCCGAGTTGTGTTATAATTTTAACATATTTTTTACGTCATATACACACGCAAACATTTGTTATTTATTATTATTATAACTATTATACAAGAAACTGTATTGCTTTGAGCATTTTTATTCGACGGTAGATCGATGATTGTGAATGATTTGTTTGCATGCGCGGTATGCTTTAAACCATATAAGAGGATCTGAAAACAAAATACCGCTCAACGGGATAGCTTTTGAAAATTCCATTGAAGAATGGCATGCAACCAGATTGTTGTACTTTTAAGATCTATGTTGTATTTAATGTAACTTTTAGTTCTATTTAAGCTTGTAATAATCGATTATTGAAACGTAGTCTAAGCTATCATTATGTGAAGATAATTATTGATAATTACAATTATGATAACGATTTTGCACACCTCATGCGAATCGAAACGAGTATAAACAATGCAGATCTTCTATTGTCATTTTTATTATGATTATGCTCACAACTTGCGGCGATAATCATCGATTTATTTTTAAATCTGTAAAGTCGGATTGGTCCACATCCTGTCACGTTTAGTTTCAAGTTGTGACTGTAATTTATATATATGATATGATTTTAAATAAATGTATCTATCGCTATTATTCAACTGCAGTTTTTGTCGACTGGTTTTCGCTGAGATCTTCGCTCATTTTATAATACAAAATATTGGCGGTATTATCCACAATGGCTAAAAATATGTTGCTGCTTGGGAATAATGGGTTGAGAATGTGAATATAACTTTAAGGATTACTTAAATACCCACCGCTCTTTCAGATTTTCGTGTAAAGATTTTATTATTCTGAAGTCGATCGCCTTTGTGTGCAGAACCGGTACATAAACTGCATCGTTTTTTATTAAATAAAACACTTTTAGGTTGGGATCATAGTTCGGTTGAAAAGCGGCGCCTTGTTCTTCTAATATGTAAGAATAATTATTAAATTGAAAATAAAATATGCTTGCCTTACCATTTTTTAAGTCGTCGTATATTTGAAAACCCAAAGCTGCGGTCAACTCATCGGGGCTTACAGTTGTGAAGTCACTGAATTCCAGCTGGAAGTCGAGCAGTTTGCATTACAGTTTGCGAGCAGCCCGTGATGGGGTATTTACCATGACTAAAATCACAGTGACTGAATTCAGATGCCCTTATTTTCGAGGGTGCTTATATTAAGTATTTATATTAATTTCCGCGATTTAACAACAATTATATAAATAGCAATTACTTTTAATCAAATCTTGGGTTCCGCGTCTGGTTTACAACAGCTGTTGCGAAGCGCTGCCAACTGCGCGCAATGTTAACGTAATGTTGTGTAGTGCTGTAGGGAACCGAAATGTTTGAATGTTGGCGCGATTTTAATATATTTGAATATCAAGCGACTTAAAAGTAAATAAAATATGAAAATACAAAATTAGGACGCCGTTTTGGAAAGAAACCATTTTAATGCTGAGATGTGAAAAGCGTACAAACTGACCATCTGCTAAATGCCTTATCAAAGCATAATCTTTGTATGCAGACATTGTCTTTGTCTAGACAAACTGGCAGCGCAACTTGAGTCAGCGACAGCCAGAAACGCCCGACCCCCAGGATCCGCAACGACAAGTTCTGTGTACGAAGACAGGAAAGAGGCAGCAAATTATGCTAAGTAGATGCAGTTGGCTGGAGAAGGGGCAGCAAGATGTGCATGTGGAGCCGTCTCCAAGCCATTTTCCAAGCTCTCTCCGGAGTTTCCCCAGACCCTCTACGTCTGGTCCTAGTGATAAGGGTTTGGCAGCCGCATCCAAGGGATTTCCACATGCGCATATCAATGGGCGTCTGCGATAAGCAACTTATGCTTACTGAAATATGGAAAACAGTCATCCGCTGCCCCATGCCAAATACAGTAGTACTTATTTTGACATAAAAATGTATGTTTTTGATCACAGTTGAAAATATGTGCAATGGCAAAACTTTTTAATTTCATATTTGAACTTAATGTACACCGATTTCCTGACATTTCACACAGGTGCAAAAAGACCTTGATGCTTTTACCTTTTTGCTATAGGAAGATAATTAATTAATCTGAAATGCCACACATATCAAAAGAAAACGTTAATTTTGGGAATGTAATACATATTAAAATATGCTTTGAAGCTAACTTTTAATACATTGGATTTGAAATTGTGGTATTGAAACCTTCACTTTAGATGCAATTTTCAATTTAGCGAGGCTCGACTGCGGTTGGGAGCTCGGTCAGAAGTTTTGCAAGGATGCCAAGGATATTCAATTAGGCTGCTCGATAGGGGGCTGTGTGTACCTGGGAATCAATGCGAGGAAGCAAAGTTGCTGGGACTCCAAGCGAGTCGAAGCCATCGCAAACTGGCAACGTAAACCAGATGTTGCGGTGAATGGCCATTATGGAGCTTGTCAATGCCAGTTGGCCAGGAGAAGGGCCGGCGGGAGCTGAAGCGAAAGGGGGCAAGTCATCCGAGGCAATTACACTGGGACGACAAGGACACCGAAGGCAGTTGCTACTATAACACCCACACACTCATACCCACCCCGCTGTGCGTGAGGTTACTTAATGCTGTTTACTGGCCAAAGTTTGCCCTGCCATTGGCCATTGGCCATTGACCACTGGACGGAACTGGCTTGAGCCCGGGACTTGGCCACAACATTACTTGCACTGGCTGGGTTTTATTCTCGCCATAACCATTGCTCCACGCAAATGGCCCATTGAAGCATTTATGGCCAAGTTCCATGCGTCGGCATTCCTGCTCCCCGTCTGCATTCAATTGCTGTATCTCACTGGCTTTAATTAGCAATGTTCTTATAAACTCTTTAGCCAATACTTTTATATGTGAAACACTTTAAGATTGGAGTCCTTCAAGATGTATCCCATTTGTACTGTAAGTAACAAATAAAAAGGTTAAGCTCCTTTAAATAATGCAGGGTTAGCTAAACTTTTGCCAGCTTGCATTTGTACCATGCAAGTTTTTCATTTCCCAATGCTTTTGGAAAGCGTTTCTGCACCAATGAAGGGTCGTTGTTGTGGCTCGTTGCTGCCACTTAACGTGCGAGTATGTGCCACGGGTTCACACACATCCCCACCTCTACTGGCTACTCTGACCTCTGACCGCTGATGCAGGAGGTGGCTGCGGTGGCGCTGCCGTCGAGGGAGTTTTAATCGAGCAAACTGCTACTGCACCTGCGGGATCAATTGAGATTTATTGCTGGGTCGTGTCAGTTGTGTTTCGGTGCTAGGGATTCCATTTCCGTTTCCGTTTCCACTGCTACTTCTGCAGTCGTGCACATTTTACGCTGCTGCCAATGGCAAGCAATTAGACAGTTATTTAATTTGCAGCGGGAATTTCCATCTGGCACTTCGGATTAGCCCACTGACCCGGCTCATTAGGCGTTTTGGGCAACCAAACCGACAGCTGCGGTTAACTTTGGCCAGCAGAGAATGCCGACTAGTGTCGTTTGGAATTCAATGAGAATATGCCCTAATTACGACCGAAAAGTGGAGAGCCCTTCAATCACTTTTGCCAGATGATGATTGTGTAAAGCCAATATTTGCATCGAAACTGGAAGTCCCAAATAATTTGTAGCTGCGATTTTCGCAGATTATATTCGAGTGTTCGTGTGGGCCGCTCTTTAATGACATTTTGAGCGTCTTAATGACTTAATGGCCCCTTGGTCGTCAAAACGCTTTTGCCGCATCATTGGCAATGCAATTAACTCGAGCATTTGCTGGTGCCCGCTTTTTGTGTGCCAAGTGTCCTGGCGTAATTAGTTGGCCACTTCCTCGCCGCCTTCGCATCCGCTTGTCTGCGCGAGTCCTTTAATGGATTCCGCCTCTGACTGCGCGCGAAAATTCATTAAAACTCGATAATTGCATGACAAGACAAGATCCCTGAACTTGGCCATCGGGCGCGAGTCCTTGTTTATCCCTCGGCTCACTATCCGGCAAATGGCGTTAAGAACCAGTTGATTTACTTGCGATTGGGATTCTTGTGCGTTCGGTGCACTGTGCAAATCAAATAGCCAAATAATAGATAATAATATTACATTTTATTGATTGCAGTCAATTGTCATGTAATTATTTTTGGATCGGGAAAAGTACATACATATTATTATAAACAAATTGTTTTTGAGCACTTGAATATTGAGAACATTAAGTGCGAACTAAGGAATACATTAATTTAGGCTCGCTTTTGGATGCATTCTAAAGTAAATTACCTGAAACCATCATTACATTGAAATGAAAAGGAGATTATTGAATTTAAAGGGAATTATAACAACGATTGGATGGTTAGTTACGTAATCAGCTGCCAAGCTGACCAAAACAAATATTCCTTTTGCATGACTTACTGCGCACATTACAAATTCGTTCTTCCGAAATGAGGATTTGGTAAGCCATGTGTATGTAATATAAGTTTGTTGCGTCTGCCCTTTTCGCAGACAGTAAGCAATTGTCTTGATTAAATAATTAAATCTGCCGAACGCAGATGAAAGGCAACGGGCACTTTGCCATAGAAAAGCTGCGACCATGTCAGGTGAACGCATTTCATTGGCGCCCAGGAAATCATTGGTTATTAGCCTTCGGCTTGTGGGCATCGAATTGAGTTGGAATACCAGAGATGTAATTTCAGCCTGCGGTTGCAGGGCAGCAAATTGAATTTGGCTGAGGGCAGGATAAACGTGCTAAACGTATAAATTTTCAGCCTGATTGCATTCCAAAGTTTCGGGAGAGCCAGGACGGCATGCCAGAAATTATACACAAAAGATAATGCCGCTGCACAATTGGATTTTCAGCTGAGGGGGAGAATGCAGCACACAAACATTCATTTTCCACTCGACTGGAGTTGAGCGCGTTTCGCATTCGCATTCGGATTTCGTATTTCGCATTTCGCATTTCAGCAAAATTTCAAAGCGGCAGACAAGAGCCACCCAGACAGTATTGTTACGGTTTTGGCCAGCACCAACCTGAACATCCAATGAGTGACATTTATCTTGCGGGGCAACCAGGGGCGTCCTGTCGGAGCATTCATTTGCGTAATTAGTGGCCAAGTGGCATCCGCAACCTGGTTGCCAAATGGCATTTGGCTCCGGGCGCAGCAGAGGCCTCGGAATCACCGCAACTGCTGCTTGATTATTGGCCAGGAGTAAAAGGAGAAGCCGGCAGACAGGCGACGTCAGCACAATTGATAGCATACTTCTCAGGGCAGCTGAAGCTGAGGAGCAGGCGCTCCAGGTGGGTGCCTTGCAGACCACTTGGCTCCACTCCTCTCCGCCCAATTTGAGCTTGTAGTGAATGCGGAACCCCACTTTAATGATATATTTATAATAATATAATTGGCTGCTGCATTTTCAATTTAAAATCCTGATTTATTCAAGATTTTTATGCTGAACATTACATTCAAAATAATATGATCCACCAGTGTGATTTGGGTACTTTGACTCGATAATTTGCCTTTTACTGTTAGTTTAATTGTATACAAGCAGCTATACATGCATGTTTACATAAAATATTACTATATTAAATATAGTTTTCTATTCAAAGCACACGCCTTGTTGTGGATATGCGGAACTAAGTCTTGCGCCTATATCATTTTCAATTGCGGTTTCCCATAGAAAAAGTAATTGATTTTCTGCAATTCACTGCTCCAGTAAGAAGTATCTGAACTAAGGAAGTATAATTAAATTAGTTTTAAACTGGAAACTAACCGAATCAACGTGGCCAGCAAGCGGAAAACTTCATTTGTAGCTGGGGATTGGCCACGTGAGTGGCGGTGTTCTCTGAGAGGTTGGGGGGTTGGGGGTGGGCAAAAGGAAAGCTACGTGAGAGTTACAAGGGCACGCACACAGACACACATCACACATACAGGCACAGCGAAAAGCGAAAGCGGCGAGAGAGGAAAATCGGAAAAGAGGAAAACAGCAACAGCAACAGCAAGAGCAACACCGACTAAGCAAAACATGGGCCAAACCAAAACAAAAACACAGGATTTGCCGGCAAAATGCACGTGACACAACCTTTGGCGAGCTTCGTCGAGTGTGATCCTTCGTCGAGTGCCGAATGCAGCCGAATGCGGCCGAATTCAGCCGAACGAAGCGGAGCCGAAGCTGCGCAGAATCCAACGAGCGGTATAAAAGCGAGACGCTCGCAGAATTCGGGGCATTCGATTGTCGTCGTTCGAGAGAAGAGGTGCCCAGATCCGAGAAAATAAAACTCCGCAAAAGACTCAGAGTAAAAGTGAAACTTTAAAGCCAAAAGCACAAACACACGCGCACACGGTGCATACAGTTTGGCGCGAGTGTGGGTGACTGCTGGCATGCCAGTGTGTGTGTGAGTTGGCCAAGTGGATTTCTATTTTTGGCACATTAAGAAGCCAACGCGAGAAGTGCAGTGGTGTTAGCTTCCGTGCTATTTGAAAGGACTCATCGAATTAAACAAACTAAACAAACGAAACAAAACAACGCCGAAGCTCTGGCAATCTCAATCTGATCCTTGGACATGTGGAGCAGGCAACGTATGCGCCATAAGCCGCTTTGGGCTCTAATATCCTTGACCGTTTTGCTGCTGGTCCTGGACAAAAGCAATGCCAACACGGAGCCCGTCGAGACCAGCACCACATCCGAGCCAGGTGAGTCCTAATTGCTCCGCACACACGTGGGCTTCCTCCGTTTGACCTTCACTCGCTGGGCGGACGAAAATAAATAAATAATAAATTGTTATGAGCTGCCTCGAACTCGGTCACTTTATTAAATGGCCTTCCACGCATCCATGGAAGGCGCCCAGCTCCCAGCGCCCAGCGATTATCACACACGCTCGAGCAAAAAGGAAATAAATCCGGAGTGGAAATGATTCCGGAGCGGGAGGGGAAGCTGCAGAGCGCAGGAGCAAATAACTGGCAGCAAATGAAATATTTCACGGCATCTGCGGCACAAAGGCAATCAAAGCGAGCCGAGAGCCCATGGGCAACCTTAATCCCAATCAGAGTCAACAAACAAGCAAGGGCACCGCGAAAAGGGGCACTGCGGAAAACATTGGACAAAAATGAGTAATAAAAACTATGAATCCAGTAAGCATTTAATATTGAGCTATAAGTGACGAGCTCATTCAGTTTCCTTATTCAAAGCAAGATATCATGGAGTCCTTAAATCTACATCATATGCAAAAGCAAGCACGTACTTTATTTTGCCAGTGAAAAAAAAGAAAAAGAATTCGAGCATGTATAGGCTGATTGAAATGAATTTAGTACAGCATTTAAAGCGAATGTATTTCATCCATTGTACACGATGTGCAAGTATTTGACCTTTATTTCGAGGGTATACGATAATTTATTACTTACGAATTTGAATAAGCATGCAAGCTTGCACTACTCTGCAGTGATTTAATCAGAAGACTAACAGCTTTACGCAACACATTTAACAAAGGCTAACCATACTCACATTATTTCCATGTAAAATAATTAATAATGAACCACACTTAAGAGGATACTCTTGTTCGTAAGAGCTGCGGTCCTGCGGAAGTTCCCAATCGTTTCTCTCAGTGCATCAGGGCATGGGGAAATGAAAGGTAGCTCGAGCAAACGGCAATTGCACGAAAGCCCGTAATGAAGTATGGCAGGCCGTCCGAGGATGGTAATAGAAATTAATAGCGTCATGTGTGAGTTTTGCGAAAGGGAAGGAAAAACCGGCCAGGGAATGGGCGGATATGGGGTAATGGACAGGGGGCTAGCGGATGAAGGGGAGGTGTAAAGTGCCCGACAGCGACACGCAGATGCGCATAAAGTAATTAATTCACTCTGCCTCCATCGGCATCGCCATCCCTCCAGTTGGTTGCCTCCCGATTTCCCTGGCAAACCGACAGGAGCAGCTGTTGAGCTGTTGAGCTTTTGGGGTTTTCGTCCTTCAGTCAGGCAAAAGTGCGGCGCACTTTTCTTTTGTGGCGGAAATTGCGACTTCTTGTTCGGCTGTACAAGTATTTCGACTTTTGATGCGCAGTTTTAATGTTTTGGCAGTCAGTCAGGTGAGGGGTGTAAATTACGCGGGCAACCTTGAGCTGGGGACCTGGTCCTGGCCGATTCAGTTTGCTGAAATCCAAGCGTTTGCTCGGCACATGTGAGCGCGAGGGGAATTTAATTTACATGGCTCACAAATGGAATCCATTTAATGTTGACTTATGGCGACGAAGCACAAGCGCACAGAGCACTGATGAAATATGCAGTAACCGGAGTAGCAGCTAAACCAGAGCTGCCTTTCACCCATTTCCATGTGCTGTCCCATAAATCCTGGGCCCCCAGGATGGGGGCAGATGAAGATGCTGGAAAGAGTTGGGCGCACACTAGAAAATATACGTTTTCGATAATTCTTTTGAACACGCCCCGTAGACCACAGAAACCACATATGAAGGACAAGCAAACGGCATCCTCTCGAAACGGACTGATATCGATATAATTATTTTTTAGAATTTAAAGGCAGCTAAAGGTGGCTAGAACTATCCAAAAGGCGTCGCAGTTCTTTCAGTGCATCACACAGAGTGCATTTTGCGAGCCCATGGTCACATGTCTCTTTGCCACATTTTATGTGCTTAGAACAAAGCTGAGTCTGCATAACACATGCAAATGGTATAACTGAGTAACGAACTGTCAAAATCGCAGTTAAAGCAAAAAGGAGTCAGTGGAAAAGGGCTGCAGCCTCCGCAGGAAGAGAACCAAATGACAAAAAGTCGCCAGCGCATTATGCATTTGCATTGCCATATATGTGAGCTAAAGGACAGAGATTACTTGACTTTTCCTGGCTGCCTCGAAAATAGGAGGGAGGTCCTACTCCCCTACTGTGAGGGAAATGGGAGTTGGAATTGTAATAGCTGCTGGAATAGAGGAGAACTGCTCCTGCCCGCCAGGGCATGAATGATTTATAGGGCGGCAGCTGTCGAGATGCCAACGATTATCGGCCATAAGCCAGTCACAGGACATTTTTACACCCAGAGAAGAAAGGAGTCTTTGGATGAAACTATTGTTCATTGCACTTTATGACTAACAGAGTTGCGTGAATAAATCCATTTCCTTAAAGCTGCTTCATTTTCTTCTCAAGAGCTTCACGTGAATCTGCTTCTGGGTCCGCAGTGTTAAGCCAGTTTGAAACACAATACTCTTTGGATCAGTTTGCGGCAGAATTTGGAACTGCTTCAGAACGGCCACCATTAGGGTTTTCATCTCCTGCATAGCAAATTTTTGACCTACATAGAAGAGTTATACATGACCATTCCATTGGGGAAAGCGATACTACATATGTACCTATGCAATTTCGCTGGCCAGCACTAAATGGAATATAGGCGTAGGTGTGACGGCTCTGCGAGTTTTCGGGTAGGAATCTCTCCGGCCGGAACTCTTCAGGCGCATCCCAGTACTCGGGATTGCGATGGATGTCGAAGATATGAACAGCAAGCTGGGAACCCTTGGGGAAGATGAGACCGTTGGCCAGCTCCGTTTCCCGCGTGGCTTCTCTACCAATGGCGGGAACAGAGGGATACAGGCGCATGGTTTCCTTGATAAAGTACTCCAGGTTCTTCAATTTGTTCAACTGCCCGATGTCCAAGTTGTTTAGCTCATCTGCAAGATTTTATATGCTTATTAAATCGTCCCTTGAGTAATTCCGCTCAGTTAACCATCTATGTGTGCTTGGATCTCTTTGAAGCATTTTTCTTGCTCGTCGGGATATAAAGACATGTTCATTAGGCCAAAGATGAGGCCAATCGATGTCGTGTCGTAGCCCTCAAACATCAGAGTGTCCACCTCCTCACAAATACCAATGTGATCGATGAGGCCATCCTTCTCAGCACGAATAAGGGTGTCCAGCATGGCAAAGCGCTTTTTAGTTGTAAATCTGAAGTAAGCGGTGATTTAGTGGACTCTTGGAAGACTGCCGGATGCATTACAATTCATCATCAGCGGCCTGGGTGTTGCGTCTGTCATCCATGTCATCATTTAGCTGATCTCTCCTCTTGGCAATGATCTCGCTTGAAAATCCATGGACCACGTCGAGGGCAGCAGCGTAATCCTTTTCGGCAAACATCTTGAAGAGTGTATCGCTCCATAAAAGTGGGTTACTCATGCGACGAATGAAGCATTCTTCGATCTGACTGAAGTTCGCCCGGTATCGATCCCCCTTCTCGGCCATCTCGTCCAGCTTAACGCCCATGGACGTCTCTGCAGATATGGATATGAATACGGATTTATTTTGAATACATTCTCAAAGTTCTTTCGATCTCACCACAAATACTGTTGAGAGTAAATCTGGGAATCACTTCGTTCAATGAGATGATTGCCTCATCTTTGTCCTTGAATTGCTGTAGGAACTTCAGACTCTCCGTTCTGGTGTAATTAGTTTGGCAAGTTCTTTGAAACAGTTATTAAGTTAACACTCAAAACTCACATTAAAATATCCTGGAACTGATTTAAAATGTTGAAATGGAAAGTTGGGGTGAGCATCTTCCGCCGCGCATGCCACTTCTTTCCTAAATAGCTCGATATTGAAAGGGAAATGAAGCAATGCTAAGCCAAACTAACCTGTGGATGTCAACAACCCAGTTCTCAGAAATGGATGGAGGAAATAGTAAACCATTCCCTTGTTTATTAGATTTGGATCATTAAGCACATGCTCCGCATTATCCGCATCTATGACATTGTAGATGGCAGTTCCCATTGCGTATTCGACGTAGCTTCTGCCCAGTATTTTCGCACAGTCACGCGAGTGCTCAAAAATTCCAGCTGAGCGTTTAATTAAACACAGCAGTGAGACGATGGCATTAGCATAGATAAGCCAGCAAAGCCCCCCAATAACTCACAGTGATCTTTGCCATACAAGTCGAAGCTGTTGGCGAATATAGTACTGCCCTTTACGAAGGGAGCAATGCTTTCCGGGGGCTGTCCATTCCTGGTTCGAATTCGCTTGGCGAAGAAACCAAGGATGCAGTAGTTCCTATTCAGCCTATAAATCCATCGCAGCAGCACAATAGAAGCTCCGACGAGCCACAAAAATAACATTTTTAGACAACCGCATCCGCGTAAATGTCGCAACCAACTGATCACTGAGATCTCTAGCAGCCGGTTTTGCAAACAAACAATACCGGTATAAAAGCCGAAACTGATTAGATAGATTGCCTCACACACATGGTCGAGTTCGCAAGCGAGTGGCATGGTATGGTATGGGTTCGGTTGTTTAGGTACACTGAAGAATATACTGTTCTAGTTGTCTAGGTACACTGAAGAATATACTGTTCTAGTTGTCTAGGTACACTGAAGAATATACTGTTCTAGTTGTCTAGGTACACTGAAGAATGTACTGTTCTAGTTGTCTAGGTACACTGAAGAATATACTGTTCTAGTTGTCTAGGTACACTGTAACCATTCACTGTTCTAGTAACCATTTTATAAATGTACTCTTCCTCAGTTTATTGAAATGGGTGTTTCAAAATGAGCAAACAGCTTTGCGAAATATGAAATAATGAATAACATCGAGTACAAGCTCAAGTTAGACTGAAGTTTATAATTAAGTGATTCAATTAATTATTATGGCCAAGCTCACTTTCGCCTCACGAGCTTCACGCGAATCTTGTTCCTGGTGCGCAGAGTTATACCCATATGGAATACAATCTTCTGCGGATTGATAGCTTTCACAACCCTGAACTGCTTCAGAAGGACCACCATGAGCGTTTTCATCTCCTGCATGGCATACTTTTGACCTGCAAAATAAAAGCACTGATTAGGAAGTCAATGGATGGAGACAAACGAGCCGCGCTTACCAATACAATTTCTTTGCCCAGCACTGAATGGAACATAGGCGTAGGTGTGACGGTCCAGGACATTTTCGGGTAGGAATCGCTCTGGTCTGAACTCTTCAGGGGAATCCCAGTACTTGGTGTTGCGATGAATATCGAAGACATGCAGGGTTATCTGCGCGCCCTTGGGCAGGATCAGTCCGTTGGCCAGCTCAGTTTCCTGGACGGCTTCACGACCCATAATCGGTACCGAGGGAAACAGGCGCATGGTTTCCTTCATGAAGTACTCCAGGTACTTGAGCTTGTTCAGCTGGCTAACATCCAAGTTACCCAGGTCATCTGAAAACGTTCTCATCAGAGGTTTCCCAATGCTTTAGGCACTTGGCTTACCGTCTATGTGCTCTTGAATCTCCTGGAAACACAACTCCTGCTTGTCAGGGTATAGGGACATGTTCATTAGGCCAAAGATGAGGCCAATCGATGTCGTGTCGTAGCCCTCAAACATCAGAGTGTCCACCTCCTCACAAATGCCAATGTGATCGATGAGGCCATCCTTCTCAGCATGAATAAGGGTGTCCAGCATGGCGAATCTCTTCTTTGAGACAAATCTAACTTACATTCGTAAGTATAGTTAACTTGCATGTTATTAGGCCAATGTACATACCCATCATCATCAGCGGTTTGGGTGCTTGGACTTTTGTCGAGCTCATCCTTTAGCAAAACCCTCCTTTTGGCAATAATCTCGCTTGAAAATCCGTGGACCACATCGAGGGCGGCGGCGTAATCCTTGGCAGCAAATATGTTGAAGAGTTTGTCGCCCCAGAAAAGTGGGTTACTCAAGCGGCGAATGAAGCATTCCTCAATCTGCCCGAAGTTCTCCCGGTATCGATCGCCCTTCTCGGCCATCTCGTCCAGCTTTACACCCATGGCGGTTTCTGAAGATGCGATATACACATGCATTTTAAGGGTGCATCAATGAACTTAAGGTGCTGGCTAACCCACCACAAATGCTGTTTAGAGTAAATCTTGGAATAACATCGTGTAAGCACACGGTTATATCATCTTGACCCTCGAACTGCTGCAGGAACTTTTGACTCTCCGTTCTGAAATCGGAATGCCTCAGTTGCTTAAGGTTCAATAAAATGGAGGCATCTTACTTAAAGATCTCCTGGAATTGGTTCAGTATGTTGAAATGGAATGTCGGGGTGAGCATCTTACGGCGAGCATGCCATTTCTTGCCTGTAATAAAGGAGTAGGAAGAAAGCCGAGTGATGGATCGACATCCCAACTTACCAGTCGATGTCAGCAAGCCCGTCCTCAAGAATGGATGCAGAAAGTTGTAGACGAGTCCCTTGGTTATGAGATTGGGATGATTCATCACATTTTCCGCGGTTTCCGCATCGATAATGTTGTAAATCGCAGTGCCAAAGGAATATTCTATGTAGCTAGTACCCATTTGCGCAGCTCGCTCACGCGAGTGATTGAAAACACCAGCTAGACATGCATTAATGTACGTTCACAAAGATAATAGCTTGGTTATATCAACCAAATGGGGTCAAAGTTCGAATGGGGCCATTTCCACTACTCACCGTGATCTCGGCCATACAAGTCGAAAGTATTGCCGAATATGCTTTTGCCTTTGGGCGTGGGAGCGATGAGCTCCATAGGGGTTCCATCTTTCGAACGGATTCTTTTGGCGAACAAGGACAGGACGTGGTAATCCTTGTTCACTCTGTAGAGCCAGTGCAGCAGCGCACTTAGGGCCAGAACCAGCCACACGACAATCATATTTTCACAACCGCGTTGTCGGAACTCCCATTCCACACTGATTGCACCGATCGCAGGTTTCTATCTTGGCAGCTGTACTATCAGTCGGTTTAATAGCAACAATTACATATGTATATAAGCTGCCGAAACTAGATTAGATTGCACATACTTATATACATACTGATATATTTGCGCTCGACTAGCTCCGATTTGTGATCGAGTTCACATATCATATCAATAACATGGTGTTCGGTGAGTTTGTTTTAATGAAAGCTTAGCAATGTTACATTTGACTGTAGAAAAACCGGTTAACTAAAAGAGTGCACTGCACTATTATCATTGACATATTTTCTGATTTATTCATTGTTAACTTTGGCTTATTATTCTTCTTGCTGCGAGGGTTGGCATTGAAAAGTCAGGGCCAATTAGCCATTTAATATCAGCGAAGTACTTAAATCTACTTGATACTTAGCATAGTGAATATCCTTAAATCGATAATGACTGAGCGCAATTCCGCCTCACCAGCTTGACCTTTATTTTATTTTTAAAGCGCAAGGTTATGCCCACTTGAAAGACAATGGACTTGGGATCGATAACAGGCAGGATCTTGAATTGCTTGAGGATGACCACCATCAGGGTCTTCATCTCCTGCATGGCGTACTTCTGGCCTTTGTGGTTCATAGATGACACATATGAGAACCGGCATTTTGAACACTTTTCACTTACCTATGCAGTTCCTTTGTCCAGCACTGAATGGAATGTAGGCGTAAGGATGCCTTTTCCGGCTGTTCTCGGGTAGGAATCGCTCTGGGCGGAATTCCTCGGGCGATTCCCAGTACTTGGGATTGCGATGGATGTCGAAGACGTGTATATTAATCTGAGAGCGCTTCGGCAGAATTAGCCCATTCTCTAGCTCCGTTTCCTCGAGTGTCTGACGACCCATAATGGGAATCGATGGATACAAGCGCATGGTTTCCTTTATGAAGTAGCTCAATTGGTTCAGTTTACTTAGTTGACTGAGGTTCAGGTTGCTCAAGTCGTCTGGAAAGGTGCGGAAATCGCAATCTATGACTCTCACATTTACATCAACGGACTGAATTACCGCGAATATGCTCCTGGATCTCCTGGTAGCAAAGTTCCTGTGCATCGGCATAGAGGGACATATTCATCAGGCCGAAGACCAGGCCAATGGAGGTGGTGTCGTACCCTTCAGCCATCAAAGTGTCCACCTCCTCACAAATCCCAATATGGTCGATTAGGCCATCCTTTTGGGCGCAAATCAAGGTGTCTAGCATGGCGAAGTGTTTCTTCCTAACCACGCATCTGGTGTTCGGAAAGGGTAGCTTATCAGTAAGAAAACTAATTTCCAAATTAGCTCACATGTCATCGTCAGCCGTTTGAGTGGCTCTCCTACTTTCCAGCTCCTCTTCCAGTAGAATTCGGCGTTTCGCGATTATCTCGCTGGAAAATTCGTGTACCACTCTTAGGGCTGCGTTGTACTTGTGTCCTGCGAAGATGTTGTATACGCAATCGTCCCAATAGAGAGGGTTTACTATGCGCCTGGTAAACCCCTCGTCGATTATGTGAAAGTTCTCCCTGTAGCGGTCGCCCTTCTCTGCCATTTCATCCAGTTTGATTCCCATGGCAGTTTCTATTTGGAAAATCACCGATTGTTAATGGGCACGCAGATATGAAAGGTATAAGTACCACAAATGCTGTTCAGGGTAAATCTGGCTATGTGGTCCCTCAAGGAAACCACACATTCATTTTGTCCCTCGAAGTGATTAACGAATTTCAAGCTCTCCGCTCTGTAAAAATGCATAGTATGTGCAATTCGATAAGGAAAATAACCCAAGTTGAGGCAAAGATTTCAGTTTCACTCACATGAAGATTTCTTGGAACTGGTTCAGTATGTCCAAGTGAAATGTCCTGGTGAGCATACTGCGTCGCGTATGCCATTTCTTTTCTGCAATAGAGAACTTTAGAATCAGCGTTTCCTTTTTAAGTTTTCCATTCTCACCTGTCGCTGTTAAAACGCCAGTTCTCAGGAAAGGGTGTAGAAAGTTGTATATTACGCCCTTCGTTATCAGATTGGGGTGGTTCAGTATGTGCGCCGCATTATGTGCATCTATAACGTTGAAGTTGGAGAATCCCATCGAGTACTGCAGATAGCTGTTTCCACTTTTCCTCGCCAACTGGCGCAAGTGAGTGAATACTTGGTCTCATATTGCGAATCAAACAGGAAGGAGAAGTCTTATAGTGATAGAAGCCTGATGTCAAAGGTCGCCACCTACTCACCAGAGTCCTTTCCGTACAGATCGAAGCAGTTGGCGAACAGAGTTCGACCCTTGGGCATGGGAACTAGGCTGTCCAGCGGTTTTCCGTCCTTTGTTCGAACCCGCCTGGCGAAGAAAGCGAGGATGTAGTAGTCTTTGTTTACCTTGTAAATCCAGTGGACGACCACACTCATGGCCACGGAGAGCCACAGAAGCCAAATCATTGTGGGCGAACTGGCTCGGTGGCCTTCACTCTCAGCACTGTTTTGGTTTTGCTCCCCAGCTCTCGATCCGCGTGAGCTTTTCACCATCAGCAACACAGAGAAGCGCCCAGCTTTGATTAGATTAGGATCTATAAACATATACTCGTGTGAATCTTTGTCGCTCAGCTGGTTGATATTTCAGCTCACGTTCACCCAATAAGCTTTTCATTGGTGTACAATTTTAATCGATACGCCAGACATTCAAATTTGTTTAAGCTGTTTTGTAAGTCTATGTGCACTGGTAAGGAAAAACGTCTTTTTATTTATTTTTCTCAAGCTGATGCACATGTGAAATTTAGAGACGACAATTGGGAATATAAAAAATTTAATTTATCTGATTTTACTGGTTTTGGTGCCAGTTTCTATCTGCACGCTAAGCAAAGCTGAGAAGCGGGTATCTTATAGTCGAAGAACTGACTCTTGTCTTGCATTGAAGTCAAATATCTTTTGTAGCAGTAAAAAAAAGGTTTTTCAACTCATTTTTTCAAGTTGTTACATTTAGTGGCAAAGCAAAGCTTTTGGGGGCACTTTAATCAAACAATCCCTATATCAAACTGCGCAATTGAAAGCCTCAGCTAAGAGATTATATACTTAAAATGTAATGTTTGGTAACTAAACTAAACATTTTGCGTAATAAAATGATGCAATGCATTGCACTACTTTCAGGGAGATACCTCATTCAGCTACCACTCTCGTTTTAGGCAACTTTAAACTTTCCCAAGATTAAATTTAAAAAGCTAACTTGTTTCTTCCAGCTTAATCAACTGAGTGGCAGTGTCCGATGGTCACAGCTCATTTTACTTTGACACTCTGTTGCATTTGCACGGACTGCTAATTGGCGATTGCCATTCATCAATTACAGGACATTCTGTGATTTTATTTGCTATGCCATTATACATTACTCGACCTACTTTCCGACAAAGTGCATGACACGTTGCGAACAAAAAGAAAAGTGGAAAGCGAGAGCTGGGCTGGGAAAACTTTAATTCCGCCGTCGGCGATTACCGAAGGCCGCCTGGAGTTGGAAATGGCAGAAAATGCTGCCACGACTTTAGCTCTCCAGCTCTGCAGCCGACTGAAATCCTTATTTTGATTCCGACTCTGACTCTGTTTCCGCTCGAGTTGCTCCTGGCCCCCACCTCCCATGTAAAATTGAAACTTGAGCAGTGCGTTTGGGCCACGACCTTTACCACCGCCCACTGCGCCCCCTGATTACTTGCCTGCATGCCAAATGCATATTGGAAATTTGCAATTTCGATGGCACTCAAAGTCTGGCGACGTCAAGTGGAAAGTTCCTCCCAGCCAGGCCAAGTTATCAAATTAGATCACATATGAAATATTTATGGCAAGAGTTTCTGGCAGACTTGAAATTGCATTACCTCCAGCCAAGCCAAAGTCTTGGGTGAATTCGTTTGGTAAGCTCCATCAGTGGGCAGGCAACTAGCGATTATTGAATGATTTATTCAAAGGATTGAGACATTGTTGCCTCTGCTACACAATTTCATTAGATTTAAATGGCAATTTTGTGAGCCTGAGCTTTTAATTATTAACACAGTATTTACGCCAACATTAACTACATTTTTCCCAATAACTATATTAAGGGACAATATTTAATAATGTGTGCCACTGTTCATATTTTCCGCTTTCATTATCCATCCGCAGATGCCTCGCCAGGCTGCCGGGCGCCGGATGTGCGCTTCACGATTGTAAAGCCGGAAGCGACGACGGAGCAGCCGCTGGCTAAATTCGAGACCACGCAGATCTACCTGCCGGAGGACTTCACCACGGCGGATGTGGAGTTCGTGGACTCGGTGCCGCGTAACCCCAACGAGAACCATGCGGCCGTAATCAATCCGTATTCGCTGGACTTGGGCGACGACCACCTGCATGTGGGCGATGCAGCCGCCAGCTTGGTTGGCGACGATGATCTGGGTGACGATGACGAGGACCACCACGGGGACCCGGAGGATAAGCGCTTAAATGCCAATCGCAAGCAGGGAAAACGACGACGTGCGGGTTCCGGCCGTCGGCGCAGGATTGAGAATGAAAATGGGCAGACAGGCAGGGGTCGTGGCAGTCGATATAAGCGGCATGCCATCCTCCACGACACAGAAGCCTCACCGGAAACGGATCGCTGGGCGGGCAGCAAGCTGGCAGCCGAGGGAGATGTGTACTATGTCCATATAGCTGATATTCTGAAGAGCCGTGAGCCAAATCGCGAGCTGAAATCCAAGCTGCACAAGCTCAAAATGAAGGCAAGACTAAACAAGTGCCTGGCGGAGGGTGGCAAGGAGAAGTGCACAAAGCTCCTCAAAAAGAAGCCCAAGAAGAAGGTCGTCGACAAGGAGCAGTCGCTGAAGAAGGAGAGCAAGTTGCCCAAAGCAGAGCAGTCCAAGAAAAAGGTACTGGAGAACGGGCAACCGCCAAAGGAGGACGAACTGGAACTGGGCCATCCGGAGTCCACTGCTCATCACCGCCGTCGCGGGGACAGTCACGCTGCAGAGCTCGACCAGCGTGACCGGAGCCCGCGTTGGCGTCGCCGGCGCAGCACCGAGTTCAAGGGCGATCTCGGCCAGCTGCCACCGGAGTCCGGAATCGGGCCGGAGCCGGAGCCGGAACCGGAACCGCTAGCGGACCAGGAGGAGCTCCAGCAGTACGGAAATCAGTCGAGCAGTGCACGAGTGGCCCTGTTGTGGCAACGTGTTAAGCGCAAGTCCGGCAAGACCACGGGTGCACTGAGCCGTCCGAAGGGTGGTGGCGACTCCAGCTCCAAGACCACCAGTCGCAAGGACAAGGGTGAGTGTGCGCCCGCACGGCGGCCAGACACTGGCAATGCCACAGTGCCCAATGCCTTTGAAGCCTTGATTTGCCGTCGCTGTCGCTGTCTCGTTGTCTGTCTGTCCGTCCGTGTCGCGCCGTCCGATCTCACGGAGATCCCACGGAGGTCGGAGTCCACCGCCCGGAAATCCCTTGCAAAGGCTAAAGGTCGCCAAGTGGCAGTTCCAGTTAGAAGTGGTCCGCTGCAAGCCCAAGTCTGTTAACTGTTGGGTCTTTGGAAACGCGCTCAAAACTTGTTGCAAATCTATTTTAAGACTGTTTAAATATTTTTAACTCTTCCATCAGGATGTAATTGCTTTTATCTACACAACACTTTTAGTTAGCCCTTTTAAATGCATATATTAGAAGCATATACGAAATCAAGTATACGCCCAGTTAGCCATTGAACAGTGAATAGTGAACCCCATGCCAGCTCCGACTCCCAAGCGGCTGGCCAGCAGCTCAGGCGCCTCACCATGCCCCAAGCTTTATAATGTGGCAACATTTTGACAATGTCTAGCTGCGAGTATTGAAACGCTTTTGCAAGGGCATTTCAGCCAACAGCAGCACACATGAGTACACACGAACACCCAAACATTAACGGAAGTTGAGAGCGGAGGACACACCGAACTACTCGTAAAAGCTAATCGCAGTCACAGCCAAAGCCACAGCCATCGCATCTGACCATAGCATCCTCTCCAGCCATGGCTCATCCCCCAGCAAAATCACACCTGCACCTGCACCCAACTCCCCACCGAAACTCCACCTGTCCTGGCATTTTCCACCCTCTCTGACGGCTTTTCATTACCCCATTTCCGCCATCGGGCTGCGTGGTTTATTTGCCAGTCCATATCTTTGTCGTGGTTGGAGTTCAGAGTTGAGAGTTGTCCGTTGTTGGCCCTTTGTTCTGGCCGGAATGATTTTCCTTTGCTCCTTTGTTTGCCTTGGGCTTCAGCTGGGGCTCCTTTGTCCGAGTCCTGCTCCGCATCCTTTACTGTTTTTTTCAGCTGGTTTTTTTTTCTATTTTCTATTTTCTATTAGCCAGCATAATATTATCTTTGGTGTTATCTCTGCCTTTTCACATCTCCTTATTTTAGTGCCGGCTTTTGATGGGGTTTCTGGGAAATGAAGTTGTATCCTGTTAAGTGGCCACTTCGCCAGCCTTCTGGTTTTCTTTTAATGCATATCTAAGCACTTGGAGCAACCCATTGAAGTTTTCAGCCGGCAGCACTTTTCGCACGTCTCGTGGTTTCTCGATGGCTTCTCCTTGGCTTAATGTGTGTGCCCAAGGGCGTACTCGAGGATTTTGCAGCGTCTTTCGCACTTTCGGCCCAACTTGGAGTCGAGTTTTGGGTCAACATGGATGGGCATTAAGATCGCTCATTGTCCACCGACACTTCATTAGCATACTCATCTTCATCTGCATCTGCATCAGCATCTTCATCTGCATTTCATTCGCATGCCGTTCAACGGCTCATTAGATGCTTGCTCTATTTGCTCTATCCCCCTCTGAACGTCTATCTACCCCTCCCCTGTTTCTTGGCATGGTACATTGCCCATCTCACGACGCCCACACCTTCTGCTCTTCTCGTCCCGCCTCGAAAATCCAGGTATCTACGACGAGGAGGCTGGCTACACGCCCTTCCATCCGGACGACCCGGAGTTCGACGAGGAGGAGGAGGAGGACGAGGAGGTCGACATCCTGCAGCAGTTCACCGAGGTTTCCGAGATCCGCTTCCCGGGCGAGATCGGACCCATGGGCGATCGGCGGCTGTGCAAGATCCGCTGCGTCAAGGGCAAGTGGGTGGGTCCGTTGTGCGCCACCAACGAGGAGGGTAAGTGAACTACTCCCGCCTCCAGCCACTCACGCCCACGACAATGCACCATCAAATATTGAAGTATTGACATACACACAGATACTTAGTTGCAGTTGCAGATACATAGCTCCAATTACAGGTACACTTAAGCCACACAAACAGTTTCGAATTCATTTATTTACGTGCGCAAATAAAGACTACACAATCAGTACACAAGCGAATACAGCACGCAATCCGATTGTTGTTTCATTTTAACCCAATTAATATGCTCGCCAATTAAAGTTGCACGGCGAAATGGAAACGTGCGTCGTTACTTTATGCACTTTAATTTTCCATCAGAACATTACTTTGCACGCCATTTTGATTCCGAATCCGTATATCTAACCTGAAAAGAAAGAATTGATGCTATACCTTGCATAGCAAAGCAAAAGGTGAC